GTAAGACAGTAATGATTATAAAGAATTGTCTTTTCTGCTTGATTAATTCAAGAAAGAAAGTCATCAGATGGCTCAGACTTATTCAGATCAATGAAAATAACAGTCTCTGTCCATCTGGTAGATTTGAGGTCATCAGGGTCAGATAAGGGTCAGATCATCAGGTCATCAGGTTCACTACACTCTTTACAACAATCTGTGTCTCATTTACCCATTCATACAGCTCTATACTAGATCTCTACAAAGCTAATTGAACAAATCATTCTAAAGAGATTAATCAGAGTTTTATCACATTCATACACTGATGGGACACACATCAGAGGCTATGAGGTGTTCAGTGTCTTGCCCAGGGACACTTGGACATGTGACTGCTGGTGGATTCGAACCCCCAACTCTCCCATTGGAAGACGACTGCTCTAACCACTCGGCCACAGCTGCAATCATAAATAATGATGAATAAAATTATTGATGGAAATGCTGTGCGTTTGGTTTAAATTATATTTATTTTAAAAAATTAATGGTAAAAAATGTAAATTATGAAAGAACATTTTTTTAAGTACAACTACATGTTTTTTGTCAGGTCTGTCAAATAAAAGACTTTGCATTAGCTTCAATGTGGGATGCTTTTATAACTTAGATAACTTTTACTAATTGGCTTTTATAATGTGTGTGAATGTTTTTGTTCAGTGTCCTGAGATGATTCTGTTGGGATTTGGTGATATATAAATAAACTGAATTGAAACAGAAACAATAAAACCTCCTAAAATTTAAGTACTGATACAACAATATTAATTAACAAAGTCCATGCTCAGTAATCCAGGAATACAATCCAACATTTTTCAGTAAGATCATCTGGACAGTTTCTTTTTTTTGTGCTGAAATGTTTCACCTTCCATCCAGAAGGCTTCATCAGTCAATGAAACACACAACACAAAACTGATTCTTCCCCCAGCAGCTTACTCCAAAGTGGAACAAACCAGTTTTGTTGGTGCAGAGCATTATTAATTCTTGTGTGTACTTCAAAAGTAAAAGGATCACAAATTTAAATCAGTTTGTTTATGTAAAAAAGCCAAGTCATTTAAGTTTGTAAATTTGTATTTCTGTTTCTGAATTTTTAGATCAAGGTCAAGATCTTCTTTATTGTCATTCGCATTTCGTGTGGTGGAATGAAATTGTGTAGACAATGTCCCAGTTACATCCAACAAAAGTATAAATTGTAAACAAAACAGTAGTAAGATCTAAGATATGAACTTAGAATACACTAAGCACTTGTAGTACAAAAAACAATACGGAGAAAAACAGCAGGATGAACATGAGTCTGTATGAGCAGATGAGTACGAACGAACACAGCAGCATGAAATAATCAGCAGCATGGATAGTCAGCAGCACATACCAACAGTCAAGTGGCATTATTGTTGCCTTCATGCCTTAATTACAGAAATATCTTTGCTTTTGGACATTTGTTATGATGCGTAACCATAACAACAAGGTTGTTTTTTACAACCGGGAGCAGCTGATTAACATCTCCAAAGCTCAAATAATATCTCAACTACAACCCCAAATCCCCAATGAGTTGAAAAGGAGGCATCATGGACGCAGAGCAGGAGCAAAGAAGAGGGAGAAAGAGGGAAGAATGAAGTTTAAACCATCTCTTCCATCGATCATGATGGGCAACGTGAGATCGCTGGGAAACAAGTTGGATGAACTTCAAGCCCTAACAAGGACCCATCCAGAGTATTGGGAATGCAGTGTTATGCGTTTCACTGAGATATGGCTGCAGGATCATATCCCCGACTCCAGCGTTTCATTGCCAGACTTTCTGACCGTACGAGCAGATAGGAGTGGCAAAAGGAAAGGAGGTGGGTTGGCAGTGCTTGTGAACAACAGATGGTGTAATCCTGGACATGTTACTGTGAAGTGTCGTCTCTGCAGTCCAGATATTGAACTGTTAGCCCCAAGTTGTCGTCCATATTATTTGCCAAGAGAGTTCACCAGTGTTATTTTGGCAACTGTTTACATTCAACCCAATGCTGTTGCCGAGGCTGCGTGTGATGTCATCAGCTCCATGGTTGCTAAGCTAAAGACACAACACCCTAGTGCGTTTGTTGCAATATCTGGGGATTTTAATCATGTTTCTCTCTCTGCTACACTTCTGACATTCCAACAGTTTGTCAGCTGCTCTACCAGAGAAAACAAAACGCTGGACTTGTTTTATGCAAATGTCAAGGATTCATACATCGCTAAAGCAAGACCCCCTCTTGGCAAATCAGATCAAAATCTTGTGTTTCTCTGCTCAAAATATAAACCCCTTGTTCAGAGGCAACCTGCAATAAAGAGAACAGTGAGAAAATGGTCAATGGAAGCTGAAGAAGCCCTGCGGGGTTGTTTTGAGGCTACAGACTGGGATGCACTGTGCCAGCCACATGGAGAGGACATCAATGCCATGACTGAGTGTGTGACTGACTAAATAAACTTCTGTGTAAACAACACCATCCCCACCAGAACAGTGAGATGCTTCCTCAATAACAAACCCTGGATTACCACTGACCTGAAGGAACTGCTAGACCAGGAAAAAAGAGCCTTCAGGGAGGGAGACAGAATTATTGAGGAGCACACAGAAGCAACTAAAAGTCAAGATAAGAAACAGCAAGGAGGTGTACAAGAAGAAGCTGGAGAGCAAGCTCCAGCAGAACAATATCAGAGAGGTGTGGTCAGGGATGAAACAGATCACAGGCTTCAAGCAGAAGAAGGATCAGAAGGATGGAAGCCTGGACAGAGCCAACGAACTGAACACGTTCTTCAATAGGTTCAGTTCAGGAACAAGCTCAGCATCCTCCTCTCTTGCCCACAGCCAAACATACATACCACCCTCCATTGACCCAAGGCTGTCCTGTCACACCTCAAATACTGTATCTACCACCTCAGTCATGGACCCTTCTTCTACATGTTGGTCTTCAACCAAATCAGATCTGATACCTCCTTTGCCTCCCCCCTCTGCATCTCCAGAAGTCAGGTGAGGAAGCAGCTGGAGAGACTGAACAAGAATAAGGCTGCAGGTCCAGATGGTGTCAGTCCCAGAGTCCTGAAGGTCTGTGCAGATCAGCTCTGTGGGGTTCTGTAGCACCTCTTCAACATTAGCCTGACCCAGGAGAAGGTTCCAGTGTTGTGGAAAACATCCTGTCTTGTTCCAGTGCCAAATAAATCACACCCATCAGTCCTCAATGACTATAGACCTGTTGCCCTGACATCCCACATCATGAAGGTCCTAGAGAGACTTCTGCTGACCCACCTGACTAGAAAAACAAGCACATATCAGGACCCACTGCAGTTTGCTTATCAGCTTGGACTTGGAGTTGAAGATGTCATCATACACCTGCTTCAGCAAACTCACTGTCATCTAGAAAAGGCAGACAGCTCTGTGAGAGTCATGTTCTTTGATTTCTCCAGTGCATTTAACACAATCCAGCCTGATTTACTTTGTCAGAAGCTCCAGAAGACTCAGGTGGAGGCCTCAACAATCGCCTGGATCAAAGACTACCTGACGGACAGACCACGGTTTGTGAGACTGAAGGGTTGTGTGTCTAACCAGGTGGTCAGTAGCTCAGGAGCACCACAGGGAACTGTACTGTCACCATTCCTTTTCACTCTGTACACCTCAGATTTTCAGTACAAACCAGACTCCTGTCATCTGCAGAAATATTCAGATGACTCTGCAGTGGTCGGGTGTATCAGAGATGGACAAGAAGCTGAGTACAGGGAACTGGTGGACCGCTTTGTGGCATGGTGTGGAACAATCATCTCATCTTGAATGTGAACAAAACAAAGGAGATGATTGTAGATTTCAGGAGAAACAGGAACAAGTCCAACCCTATTTCCATCATGAGAGAAAAAGTGGAGGTGGTGGTATTTTTGAATTGAATTGAATTTTAGAGCTTCGACAAGAAGGAGTTTTTTTCCTCGAGGTCGGCTTGTTAGCTTAGCTCGTAGCTTAGCTTCTCAGCTTAGCTGCTTTTAGCGAAGAGAGAAAAAAAGAAGAGAAGAAACGATAAAGCCAATAAATGAAAATGAGGTCGATAATTTTCATTCATCGTGCGATTAATTGATTTATTGTTTATCGCGACAGGCCTAGTTTAGCGTATATCTTAGTTTACATCTTAGATCCTGATTTACTGTTTCTTTTTACACCATGGCGGCTGTGGCTGAGTGGTTAGAGCAGTCGTCCTCCAATGCGACAGTTGGGGGTTCGAATCCACCAGCAGTCACGTGCCTAAGTGTCCCTGGGCAAGACACTGAACACCTCATTGCCTTTGATGTGTGTCCCATCAGTGTATGAATGTGATCTAAAACTCTGATTAGTCTCTTTAGAATGATTTGTTCAATTAGCTTTGTAGAGATCTAGTATAGAGCTGTATGAATGGGTAAATGAGGCACAGATTGTTGTAAAGAGCTTTGAGTATCTTGAAATAGATAGAAAGGCGCTATATTAGTACAGTCCATTTACTTTATATTTTTGCTATTTTTGGGTCTAACTGGGACGCTGTGTACATAATTTTGTTCCACCTCACGTACCACATGTGGTGAAATGACAATAAACATACTTGAACATAAACTTGACTTCGTATATCTGGTCACTTTTCAAGATGATACTGTATCTTTTCACAGGGCAAAGATTTTGTAACCATAACACAGATCAAACTTTTCTTAGGATACACAATTCCAATTAATTTATCACAAACAGCAACAGCTCAGATGGTTAGCTGATAGAGAGCTGATGGTGGGAAAACTTTTCTTGAATTTTATTTTAATTCGACTTAAAAACAGTTCTATTCAATATTTAGTTGCTATTTAGTTGTTTCTTTTAAATAAATGTAAACGTTTCATTATCTGTGATGTTTTTCGATTCTACTCCAAAGTAGCGGAATAAAAAAAAATTGATTTTCACACATTTTCACAGGGGTTGTACACTAAATGCTGAAGAGATGTAATAAATTTGATAGAATTACCAACTCTTCCTCCTCTCTCCGTCAATTGGTCGGCTAGCTCTTCTTGAAGCCGCTGCTGTTGCCTGGGAGGAAGCCTCCACAAAGCCTGACCCATCTGTAAGCAGAGCAGACACAGCAGACCCACAACACAGAAAGGCATTAATAGAATGACATGAAACAAAATTCATTCATTCAACCTTTATTTAGACAGTAAATCCCATTGAGCCTCCAGGACTCATTTACAAGAGACCTGATTTCAACAAAGAAAGATGACAACAATGGGCAACAGCGACAACAATAAACTGTTATAAAAAGTCATGCAATTTTTATTTTATTTATTTATTTAACAAATAGAATGGCAAAAAAAAAGTAAAGTAAAAAGAAAAGAAAAGTAACAAAAAACAGCTAGATTCTAAGGCGGATGTAGAAAACTAAAAACAGGAACATGTCTGCAGTGAGGAAAATGCCATGATGCCAACGAGCCAGATGACGTGACGCTTATTTATTGCAACTCTGACATTGTCCTTTAATAATCTGTAAGTCTTTCATCAACTGAATAAAAAAAAATCATGTTTACTTGTTTACTGATTAATAAAATAGATTTTTAATATATCAGATATAAAACATCGTCTTCTTCTGCTGTGGCTTCAGTCTTGACTAGAGTCTGAAGTACCCATCGCCTTTGTGAGTAATTTTCTGTCCGGCAATTTGGGAGTCTCCATATCCCATACTGAGACATTGAAATGAATGCTAGGAATGAGAACTTTATGAATGATAGCTTGAGAACTGCTGATCCGTTTCATGTTGCTGCTGATCTGTTTCATGTTGCTGCTGATCTGTTTCATGTTGTTGCTGATCTGTTTCATGTTGCTGTGTTCATTCATGTTCATCTGCTCACACAGACTCATGTTCGTGCTGCTGTTCAACGTATGGCTTTTATGCTATTAGTACTTAGTGTATATTTAGTTGATGTTTTTCTTAGTTCATATCTTAGATCTTATTACTGTTTTTCTTTTACATTTTATTGTTGGATGTAACTGGGACCCTGAGAACACAATCTTGTTCCACCACATGTACCGTAGTGTGAATGACAAATAAAGAAACTCTGACTCTGACTCTTCAGGGTACTTGTGTAACCCCGGTTCTCAGAGAAGCATGAGTAAAGGCCCCCACAGACTCTAGCATACCTCACTCCGTGGAGGTCCGCGCGTACCGGATTAGAGTCAAAGCGGACGCCCGCAGGGCATGTCCGTGCAAAGATCAATTTTTACGACCGCGTACTAGGCGTACTCTGTGTTGCACAATAAACTGCCTGGTGACGGACTGTTTTGTATGCGACACCAATGTATTAAATTCTCTTCCGTCATCCCTGTTTTTTTTTAATGGCCTTTTCTTTTGTTTTTGTTTTTTTTCCCTCAAGAGGCAGCGATCTCTTCCTCCTCGTCCGTTGACGGCATGATTGAAATTGTGAAAAATTAAGGAATTTGTCATGAGAGAATTAAAATCAGGCCCAGCGTAGCTGAGGGAGGATATGGAGATTTCCTGGTGGGCCAGTCTGATGGGTGGGCTGCAGGGCCAGCGCTCCCAGGTTTTTTTTTTTTTACAAGTTTTTATTAACAATATATAAACATAGAACACCACTGCCGCTTGCTGCCACCTCTCTTTTTTTTTTGCGACCTGTCAATCAATCCAGTAGGCGTGTCAGTAAATGACCAATCTGCGAACTCAATTTGTCCCGAAGGTAAATGCCCCTTGCCTGCGGCGCTGGCTGCAGCCGGTCAGGGTGGACGCTCGAGTATGAAGTCTCAACTGTCTGCAGACAGGACCGCACTAGTATGTGGGGGTGTAGTGAACTAGGCCTCTGACCAAAACCTGCCTCTGAAGACCTTCATGGGACAGGAACTGTTATTTCATTGATTTGAATCCAGAAATACAAATTAGCTCATCCAGAGACTGTTTAATTGTATCCTGAAGTAATCAATTGAAAGAACACTCTTCTTTTTATATTATCATTACTATTTTACAATATCTTGATAATCAAAGTGTGTTTAGTTCATATCATTTCTAAAGTTGACGTGAACCACTCATTTTAAATCAACTGTGAAACAGTATTAATGATTTTTTTTAATCCTCATTTAAATGAGAAATCAAGTTAAATGTCTATTTACAAAGTAATTATGCATTTTGATCTTCTGTCTAAAGGAGAAGTAGTGATGTCGGTCAAAAGTCTGAGACAGTCAGAAAGAAGTTATTAGAACGGGCTGTATTGTTTTTAAACCTAGCAGACGGTAAAAAGAGAAACACTGGCATCTGCGTTCCTCTCACTTCGCCATAACATTTCTCTGTCTGTACTAAACGTTCCTAAACAATTCTGAACCCTCTGTTGACTTTTAATAACCCTCTGACATCACTAGAACCACCCCCTGTTGGTTGTTTCAACCAATCAGGAAGTATTAAGTGACCGGAAGTGAGAACTTTTTAAAAATTGACACTTCCTGGAACTATTCAGTCGTCTACGGAGTCTTCTCCGTTTTCTCAAGTTTTTCCGAGTTCTTCTGAAGTCTTGGATCTGCGTTAAACTCAGTCTTTGATGGAGTCTTCTCAAGCCTTGTGGAGTCTTCCACTTCTGAGTGGAAACTCTGATGGACTCACATATGCTTGCTGTGAATCCACCCGGGTGTAATGCCTCCAACTTCGAAGGGAGCTGAGCCTGTTTGTTGAACGGAGTAAATCAACACGACTTCTGACGATGACCAGCCGCTCTTACCGGAGACGCTGGAAGGTAGCATTGAAATGGACCCGACACCGGAGCGGATTTATCTCCTGTGAAGGTAACGAGTCGTCACGTGCTAAGTGTACCGGAGGTTTGAGCTGGTGATTGAAAGAAGCGTGCCAATCCTAGTCAACAACAAACACCTCTCTTCACCCATCTTTTCTTTAAACCTCTAAACTCCTTCCTTTAAACTCTTCTATTTTGCCAGTAATCTAGATGCCTTCAGAAATGTCTTGTTGTCTTATTAGTAAAGCGTGTCAAGTTTTATTAATCAGAATCAGATCAGCTAATCACGTGTACACGTTCTGATGTTAAATTTTGATTCTGTTAAATAAATGACCGCATTTATTCTGATGGGTCAAAGGAAAATTAACGTCTCTTGTCACTGATTAAACAATCCTCACAGTTACCTCGTCACATGGCATTAATTTAACTCGAAAAAGAAAGAACCCGTTATATTTAAATAATTAGTAGTGAAGGTACAGTAAGCTGTCTCCCACTTTCACTACATTTAGTGGGACCGTACGTGTTTTAAATAACACATTTGGTGGGACAGTATGTCCACAGCGAAGCTGTCCTTGACACACTACAGGAGCCTTAAGATGTCTCACCAGACAATCCTTCTTGCTGGGGCAAAGCAAGAGTTGCTTATTTCAAATTATGCTGCACACAAAAAGGATGGTGACAGGCGCTGCGACCACCAGCCAATCAGGATTGGAGTAATGAAATAAGTGCTTCTGATGAATACGAAGGGGAGGTGTATCCAATAATGAGATCTCACTCATGCTACTCTGAGAACCGGTGTTACACAAGTAATCACAAGTTTCACGGGTGAATAGAAGGCCATGTTGATAAAGCATTGTGTGAACTTTTCAGTTGAGTACTCATTTGCTGTCATATTAAGTGAGACAGAATTACATAAGACAATGTTAAATGGCCAAAATAGCCGAAAAGTGTTTGAAATATTTTCAAAAATGTGGAAGACATCTCTAATAGCCAATTTAAAACTAATTGTACAAGTCAGCTTCATGTGCGGCCAAGGTGATTTTCTGACCCAACTCCTGTTTTGTATGGGCCTGATCCCCCTCAGTCAGATCACTGTCAGCCAGAACCAACAACCTACAGAGAGTTAAGTTCAAGGTCAAGGTTTCTTTATTGTCATTTGCATCTCATGTGGTACATGTGGTGGAACGAAATTGTGTACAAAGGGTTCCAGTTACATCCAACAAAAGTATAACTTGTAAAAGAAAAACAGTAATAAGATCTAAGATAGGAACTAAGAAATACACTAAACCACAGGCGTCAACCTCCAGACCTCGAGGGCCGGAGTCCTGCAACTTTTAGATGTGTCTCTGATGCCACATGGCTGAATCAAATAAGGAGGTCATTAGCAGGACTTTGGAGAACTTGACTGCACTGAGAAGCTAATTCAGTCATATGACTCAGCTGTGTGGCATCAGAGACACATCTAAAAGTTGCAGGACTCCAGCCCTCGAGGTCTGGAGGTTGACACCCCTGCAACTAAGAATACACCAAGCACTAGTAGTACAAAAACAATACTCCGAACAACATCAGCACAAACATGAGTCTGTGTGAGCAGATGCGTATGAATGAACACAGCAACATGAAATGAATCAGCAGCATGAGATCAGCAGAATGGAAAGTCAGCAGCACATATCAACAAACAAGTGGCATTACAGTGATTTTTTTTCAGTGATAATCGTGATTAGGGATTCATGAGTCTAACAGCTTCAGGGTAGAAGCTGTTCCTCAGTCTGGTGGTTCTACACTTAATGCTCCTCAACCTCCTTCCTGAGGGGAGCGGGGCAAAAATGTGTGTGCTGGGTGAGTGGGGTCCTTCATGATGCAGGTGGCCCTCTTCCTGCATTTAGAGGTGTAGATGTCTGTGATGGTGGGGAGGCTGGTTCTGAAGAATGTCAAACTCTAAGTCCAAGGACCAAGCCATCAACATATATGCTGTGCCAGGCATCAAAAACACCTGTAGTATAATAGTCTGACGAAAGGAGGAGATCAAGACACAGATCTTCCTCACAAGTAGGCCTGTCACGATAACAAATTTTGCTGGGCGATTAATTGTCTCATAAAATATTGCGATAAACAATAATATTGTTTGAAATTTGCCAATAATTAGTCATTATTGTCAAATTTAAGAAGAAATTTTTAATTTGTGTTGTGTGGTACCTTTCTTGACCACCAGATGGCAAAGACTGTTTGAACCGAAGGATGGATAGTGAGGGAGCGAGCAGCATGTCTCTGTAAGAGAAATGGGAGGGAGGCCCCTTGACGTGACATGGGCTGTCTCTCTTCGGTTCTCAAAATGGCGGACGCTCGGTGTTGTTTGAGCTCTTTAGCATAGCATTTTACACACAAAGTTTTTAATTTAAAAAAATGCAGTAAACAAGTTCTCAGATTCTTTTTGCTGAGAAAAGCTTTTTACACAAAGGCACGTGTTTCAACCATGAATTTTGGAGCTTGGACAAGACGGAAGTTTTTTTTCCCCCGAGGTCGGCCTGTTAGCTTAGCTCGTAGCTTAGCTTCTCAGCTTAGCTTCTCAGCTTAGCTGCTTTTAACGATCCAAAAACACGATTTTTGACGGTTAAAATGGATTTTAAAGAGAAAAGATAAAGGGAGGGGTCAGTGAAGAACACCGGAGTTGAGCCTTTTGTCATCCAGCGTCTTCAGTAGAAAGAGAGACACCAAGAAACGATAAAGTCGATAAATGAAAATCAGGTCGATAATTTTCATTTATCATGCGATTAACTGATTTATTATTGTGACAGGCCTACTCACAAGAGGGTTTCACCCCAAGTCCAGCACTAAGACTGTACACCAAGACAAAGGAGGGTGACAGAGGACTACTGAGTGTCTGAGCCACTATACAGGATGAAACAACCACGACCCTGAAGTACATCATAAGTGAATGTCTCAGGCAGCGGAAACACAATTTGGAAGAAGAGAAACAACAGGAGCCATCGTGGAAACGATAAGCCTCTGCACAACACGTGCCGCCATCAGATTGTGAAGGTGGCTGATACCAACAAATCCTACCAGAGGTTACAGAGGGTTGGACTGAAGGACAGAACAGAGGCACTAATCATGGCAGCACAAAAGCAACAGTACATAATACACTGAGTACATCATTTCGTTCCACCTCATGTACCATGTGATGTGAATGACAAACGACTTGATCTTGAATAGAGGCCGAGGTCGACTATACCAGTCAAGACCCAAGACACAGAAAATTCAAAGACTGACCCAGCACGTTGCAGAATGTACGATGCAGGCAGGCAAGGCGTGTACCTGTTGTGTTCGCAGCTGCAGAACAACCAGACCAAATGAAATCAGTGGCTACAACAACAGTTTTGAACATGGGCCCAAAGCAAAAAGAGTTCTGGTGAAAAGAGGTCTAGTTTCATCTCCTCCCTACAGATGAAGAATTAAGAAGAATGTTGCTGAAAAATGTGAATTTGAAGAGAAAACCCAAAACTCTGCATGTGAGCTCATTTCACTTGTTGACAAACGGCCGACGGAGGAAAACCTGCATCCTACTTTGTGTCTGGACGACAATAAACCACCGGAGAAGAGACGCCGGATCCTCAGAAGATTGAAAACAGTGACGAGAACATCAGGGATGATTTCAGGTGTATGGAGGTCACAGCTTTATATTTGTTCATCTTCACTTTTGTGATTTTCTCTGTAATGAACCCAAACTCAGTGATGGAGGACTTTAAGACTTTGTGTCTGATTTAAGATCAATAAGATTGTGTCCCACCTCTTTTAACTAAACACACGACCTTATTATGGTGGAGACACTTTTCAGCTTGTTCATCGCTTCACCATCTGAAGAACCGAGTCAGTGAAGCAGCTAAACATGCTAGTATCCATCCACCCATCCATCCATCCATTATCTTTTACCCGCTTCATCCTTTTCGGGTAGCGGGGGTCACTGGTGCCCATCTATCACTGTGCGAGAGGCAGGAGACACTCAAACTAAATATGTTAGTAGATGTAATGTGCAGCCACTTCTTCAGCTCGTCCTCCATCCCTGGTCCTCAGCAGCAGAGGTATGATCATATTGTCCTGTTGGAGCTCTGACAGGTGGTGTTCCTACATGTTTAAATTAAATCCACGATTGGAGAAACTACATCAGCTCGAACTGTTCGCACAGAAACAAACATCAGTTCTGGTCTGCGCCGGAAATTGCGCCCACAATTCACACAAGGCAGCACGGGGGCAAGGAACAAGGTGGCTAGATTAAACAAAATAAAATTAAAATCTAAATCCAAATGCATGTTATATGGTCAAAATGTTTCAGATTTATGAGAAGAAGAAAAAACAGCAGTATATAGTTTTAACTCGTTAACGTAAGTGAAAGTAATTCCAGACATTGAGCTCTGGTTAGACTAAGCAGTAAAGTACTTCATTACCCAGTTCTGTTCTGGTCAGGGTGGACCGGTTCAGCACGTGGTTGTTTGATTACAGCAGTAGTAGCACGTCAGGTCAGCGTTTTGCCTCGACCTGTTAGGAGAATTCCCCCATCTTCTGTTTTAACATTATTCACAGTATGATTATTTGAAATAAAAGGCTTTAAAATGTGTTTTGGGACTGATGGCGCAGCATACATGCTAACAACGTGTGGCTTTCACATGTCAACAGTAGCACAAGTATCAGTAATCCTCTGTTTTGCCGTTGCTGTGTAGCACATGTATCAAACCGCACGTTGATTTGTGGGTTTGGGGCGACCCCCAGTGAAGTCAACGATGGACACGTTATCAACGTTAGAAAATCCAACTGTTGCGCAGCTTAAGAACTTTTGTTGGTTTGTCAAGTACCTACTGTATTTCTAATCTGTGTAATAATATTTTTGTCAAGAGCTGTTCGTTCGTTGGGATTGAAATGTAAACCCTGCAATGACGAGTGATCTCACTGAAATAATAAAGTAATTTATGTATTTTACTCTTCTTTCAGCTGCTGCCTACCACGCACTAAGACTTGATAATGGTTTTTACGCCGGACGTCCTTCCTGACACATCCACAGACCACTGAGCTACCACAGCCCTCTGTGTGGAGCAGAGGGTGGGGGTTAAGGGCCTTGCTCAAGGGCCCAGAGTGGGGCAAATGAGGGTGGAGGCAGGTGTGGGCGTTTGATGTCGGTCTGGGGAATCGAGCTGTCGACCTTCAGATCACAGGCCCACGCTCTCTACCCTCTGCGCCACCACCTCTCCAGAAAAATGAAAGAACCTCCTTAATTCATATGGTAAATAGGGAAACTGATGATGACTGTTGCTTGACTACATTCACTGTTTTTTAAAGAGAATTTAAAAATATACACAAATATTGTGAACCTTTATTAGAGAAACATTTCTATGGGTGGATCTTAGTGAACTGTTATTTTAAATGATATATTTGAGTGATACTGTTGCACATAGCAAGAAGGCAGTGATGAACAGACAGGCTGGGTGTGTTCTTCACTCTGTGTGTTCACTTTTTGCATGGTTTTATATGTTTTACTTTATTCACATCCTATCTATTTGTGCGTGTTATAAACTGTTCACTTATACTTCATCACACGGAGGTGGAAAACTTGTTTGCATAGATGCAGCACAGTTTTTCTGTAGACAGAAACAAAGAAAAGTAACTTTCGAGACTGGCACCAAACGCCAGTTAAAACTAGTTTTTCCTTGAAAGATGAGAAATATGACTGCGTGGTTGCCAAGGTAACCTTGGATTGACCAGGTGGTCAATCAATAGGAGAAGATACCCCTCCAGGAGGGAGGTGGGTTCATGAAGAGCTTATATTATCCTGAAACAGGAAGTAGCGTCAGACAATCCTGAGCAGAGCCACTTCTCAGGTGAAGTACACCTCCATTGTCTCCTGAAATGCATTTCAGTACTTTGATTTTGTAATACTTTAACTGTGGTGTGTATTAAAACTCTTAAACTAAGGTGAAGTCTCCTGGTGATGCCACTCGATCCAAACAACCCGAGAAAGGTGTTCGTACCTTTCAACAGCAGCCAAACAGCTCGTCCAGTGGCCGCTCCCGTGCATATTTAAGTGAGTGGTACAGATGTGTCGTTACAGTAACGAGGTCGAGTCTGGTCCTCTGGACAGTTCTCTGTGGAAACGGTTCATCTTTTAGCCTGAAGACAACCAATACACTGGTTATGAGAAGGTTTGTTGCAGCGCCTCAGACTGAAGAAGTCTTTTGGATAAAAGACAAAACGTTTCAACAAAGAATCTGTCCAGAGGACCTGACTCAACCTAGTTAGATTAGATTAGATTCATCTACCTGGATTATCGAGCAGCACCTAGTCATGAATAAAATATTCGTTCTGCTTTCCTGTATTTATAAGTGCATTACTGGATTAGTTAAATATATTTAGAGAGCACTGTAAACGAATTAGCTACACTTTTAAAAACATCGTCCCTTCTTTCTCACAACTCAAACGGCCCACGTCAGACGTGTTGCATAAACAAACCAGTCGTCCTGTTGTAAACATGAACGCTGGAACTTACGGTCAGCAAGGTAGTGTGACCTGTAGCCCCGCCTCCTCCTCCACGCCATTGGCTACGCTGACTACGACGGCTAACTAAGGCTGAATCTGATTGGTTAAGTTTGTTGTCAGTCAAGATCTGTCACAAATATCCAAGTTAGCTACCAAGCTAGTTAAAGTTAACAACATAAAAACACGAGGTGACTCACTGTGTTCCGGTATGAAAAGATACGATTCCAGGACGTTATTTTTGTATTTAATGTTTTTCTTTAATAATCACAGCCCAGTGTTTGTGCGTGACAACAACAAGACGGCATCATAACTCTAGCTACCCACCTGAGTTACGGATTCCTGTGGACGATCTGACCCGCACCGCTAGGACAGCTGAACACAAGGACTCACTTCTAATAAACGTAACCCGTTGTCATCTCCGAGGCGAGTTCTGATCAGCTGCTGTGATTCAGGAGGATCCTTCCGTCCTGCAGCTTCTTACTAACATTATCATCCGCTCCCAGCCTCCGCCGTCATCTCCGCCCCGCCCACTTGTTGTCATCTCCGCCCCGCCCCGCCCACTTGTTGTCATCCCCGCCCCTCTCACTTGTTGTCATCAAGCACATCGTTAACATCGCGCACGAGCCTCCGTCATTCACAGGCTGAGCGCGTTTTCAGTCGTGCAAAGAAACAAAGTTTAGATAAGCACATAAACTGAAACAAAATTAGTTTTTATTACATATTAGGTCCGCACTATTCTCAGTCACCGGCGCGCCGAATGGGCGGAGTTTACAAGTTTATCAATATCAACACATGCACATGTAATCAACTGATCTAACAATAAATGAAGGTACTGGGCCAAACCAGCCTCAACACGGTGAAGTTTTGTTCAACGAGTAAAAATGACAACATGCCTCCAAGTGTTGCTGAGCTCCACAGCAGCCATCAGGGCTATGGGAGGCCAGGTAAGACACACAAGATCTCTGGCTGATGGTCCCTGTGCACATGAAAAGCCAGTTCTGGCTGTCACCAACAAACTGGTGAGGAGAAGTGACTGAGTTTGTTGCAGCTCCTCAGACTGAAGAAGTCGTTTAGATAAAAGACGAAACGTTTCATCAAGAATCTGTACAACCTCTAGATTCATGTACCTGGATAACTGAGCAGCATCAGGATACCTTCTAGCACTTCTGCTGCTTCCGTACCTGACCAGCAAACTTTATGTTTTTATCATTTTTTTACCTGTTTCTGGTGAAAGCATAATTTTTCTTGTACTGCATCATACCAGTGATTCAGGCACAGGGTTGAAACTAGCAGAGTAAAGATGGAGGCTGATTTATCACCGTAAGCTGCTGAAACTGATAAAGAACGTCCTACAAACAGTCGCGTGAGCTCGATCATTCCTTACACAAAATAAGCAGTAGATGGGAATTCACTCAGGCATGTGTGTGCGCTGCGGTTGCTCCGAGTATCGTTTCGCACGATTAGTGTATTTCTTAGTTCACATCTTGGATCTTATTAGTTTTTATTTTACAGTTGATACTGTTGTTGGATGTAACTGGGACCCTGTACACAATTCCATTCCTCCACATCCAATGTGAATAATAAAGAACCGTGACCTTGTATTGTGCATGTATGTATACATATATGTAAATATCTGTGCATGCATGTATAAATGTATCACATGGGAATATTTGCCAACATTTGCACAACCCTCGTGTCCGCACCAGAACAGCATCTTCTGCTCTAATCATCAGTCTATAAAACGTGTATAAATCAGTCACGCCCCACTCTGCTGTGGACACATGGAACTAAATGACATTTAATTCTTCATGGTGCATTGCACGATTTTAAATGACAAAGTTTATAGTTCTTTTTCATCTTGTTGATCTAAAACATCTTGTGACAACGTAAAATGTTTTCCTCTGCCCAACTTATGGAAGGATCACTACAAACCACAGAGTAAACACACGGCTTTCCAACTTTGCCATTACCAGTACACGATTATGGGGAAAAACACAATACCACTCTGACCAGGAATACAAGTTGACAGTTGTATACTTTAATTTTGTTAATCTAAAACATTGGTGCATGACTGTGTGAATGACTTCTGCAGGAAGTCATTAGTAAAAACTCGCTGCATGTTAATTAAAGATGCTCACGCAGTCATTTGTAAATACATAAAAACAGCTAAACGACTTGTCTGCAGCTACAGTGGTTTGTTAGAAAAGGTACAAACATGATAAAAACCATCAAACAAAAATGTACACAATTTCAACAAGACAGCAAACTGTTCCCATAGTGTGGTGAGATGATCATCCAACTCTTCATTTGTAGGTGCTTGTGAAGGAGTCGGTGCTCTTCAGCAGCCCAGAGGAGTTCTTCAGCCTGAAAAGCATCACCACAAACACATTAGATGCTAATTAGATCAAGCTTGACTGAGACTGAGGCTTTGAGGGACCGGCCTATTGTGAAGGACCAGTTGGGTTTGAAAGCTGCACCCCATTTAAATAGAGTTAGAAGATGTAAAAAATATAGTTTTAATCATTGTTAATTTTTCAAACAGTGATGTGTGTATATGTACTCAGACCCTTCTGGACAAAGATCTCAGAGGATCTTTCTAGGATCTGGTTTTAGTCTCGAGCCATGGTGCTGAACGGGTCCCAGTTAGATGGACCAGATCACTGACCTGGAGACTTGATACTCAAACTGCTGCAAAAGTTGTGGACAAGGTTTTGTGTCATACACATGACGGCATCAGTGCTGCTGGTGTCCGACGAGCTTTACATCAAACCACCGACCCTTAGCTGAACTCAGGTCTGGGTTTGATAAGATCCTTCTGGTTCTTTAAACACAAGCCCCGCCCCCCTTTTAAATTTAATTAATCTGTTTCCTGATTCATGCTCAATCATCCAGGTAGAAAAATCCCACAGTTAAGTCAGGTCCTCCGGACGGATTATTTTTGTTGAAATGTTTCGTCTTTCATCCAAAGGACTTCATCAGTCCGAGGAGTCACAACAAACTCTTAATTAATCGGAACTATTTTTTGTAGAAGTACCACATTTACTCAAAAACAAAACTATTAAATCCAGGATGTAATGCAACAAAACAGAATACTAAGGGTGTGAATACTTTTGCAACTCACTGCACATTGTGAAATTAAAGGCCTAGTTTAGTTTGACGGAGCACATTCTGCCCTCCACCTTTCACGCTACCAACACCATCCAATCATGAGAAGAGACAAGTGTTTGGTCACACCTAGCAGAGTTTGGCCGCATCTCGTACTTTTGCAAAATCTCATGATGAGATGCGTCTGCGCTCAGAGTATGTGTTGAAACCGACACCACCACACATTTTAGATCAATATCTGTAAAGCTGATTAAGCTATTGATGTTTTTCTAGTGGTTAAGATTGATTAGCTGCGCCAGCCATCTACACATGGGGCGCCTCCAAAAGTTATTTAACTGTAGATGCTCGTCCAATGATTACTGATGAGAAATGTTGATAACAGCCACCCAACAGTTCAAGAGATACTCTGGTAAAACAAAGAAAGCTTAAGGCGTGGGACATGCACACGTGCACGCACACACCACCCTTTCACTTTTGTCAGTGGTAGATTATAATGAGCTTACATGGCGGTGATCCGGTCTAGCCTTTCCTTCATGTCCGGCTGAACAGAACAAAGAGAAGAGAAGAAGTTAAACAAACGTCGTGTTAATCTACACTAAAGATGGGCCATGACGTTAGCTGAAAGCAGACAAGAAAACTTGTTGCGCCTTTACTGTTGGCAAATAAAATCTGTGTTCTAAATGAAAAACATTGATGTGTAAACATGACAGGTTACACCAGGGACACTGAGCGCCCTCTGGTGGCTGCTTGCAGCTATAACCCTAGTAACAATGTTCAGCCAGGTCATCTGAAAGGGTTTTCTTCTTCTTTTTTTGTTGAGACGTTTTTCCCTCCATCTGAAGGACTTCATCAGTCTGAGGAGTCACAAACAAACTGTTTTCCCCACTTGCAGAGAGTGGTGAAGGCTGCACAGAAGTCTGATGGAGTCAGCCTCCCCACCATCACAGACATCTACACCTCCAGATCAGTCAAAGAGATTTATTTGTCATTCGCATCTCATGTGGTACATGTGGTGGAACGAGATTATGTACACAGAGCCCCAGTTACATCCTAAAATGTAAAAGAAAAACAGTAATAAGATCTAAGATATGAACTAAGAAAAACATCAACTAAATAAACATGAAGCACTAGAAGCATAAAAACATTACATTGCATCTAGAGGTGTAAATGTCTGTGATGGTAGATGCAGGAAGAGGGCCACCTGCATCATGAAGGACCACACTCACCCAGCACACACACTTTCTGCCCCACTCCCCTCAGGAAGGAGATTAAGGAGCATTAAGTGTAGAACCACTAGACTGAGGAACAGCTTCTACCCTGAGGCTGTTAGACTCATGAATCTCTAACTAGAATAATCACTGTGAAAAACCATATCATGCTGCTGCTGATCTGTTTCATGTTGCTGCTGATCCATTTCATGTTGCTGTTGATCAGTTTCATGTTGCTGCTGATCAGTTTCATGTTGCTGTTGATCAGTTTCATGTTGCTGCTTATCAGTTTCATGATGCTGCTGATCTGTTTTATGCTGCTGCTGATCCATTTCATGTTGCTGCTGATCTGTTTCATGTTGCTGCTGATCTGTTTCATGTTGATGTGTTCATGCGTGCCCATCTGCTCACAGACTCATGTTCGTGCTGCTGTTCAATGTAAAGTTTTTATGTTATGAGTGCTTAGTGTTTATTTAGTTGATGTTTTCTTAGTTCATATCTTTGATGTTATTACTGTTTTTCTTATACATTTTATTGTTGGATGTAACTGGGACCCTGAGTACATAATCTCGTTCCACCACATGTACCACATGAGGTGGAACGAGAAATAAAGAAACTGTCTCTCTCAGCAGTACTCTCCTACAGTGCACCAACCAGTTTGCTGGTGATAAGATGGTGTCTGGGTAACCTTGATGTCTTGAACCACTTTGGCTGTGTTGCCTGGGAGGAGTCGATGGGGGAGAGGACGGCCCCCAGACACCATCTTATCACCAGCAAACTGATGTCTTATAAAACTAAGCTAACTGGTATATGATTAGCGAGGGCAACGTAGCTTAAAGCAACACATCAAGTTTTTAAAGAACAAATGATCACATCCATCATTTACTGTCTGTTCTGCTCAGTCACAGGGAGCGGGGGCCCATCTGCCACCATGTTAAAGGCAATATAAAGCTTGTGAGGTGCAGGAACAGTAAAGTCACAGGTTTAGCTTTTAATCATTTCATTTTGATGAAACAAATGATTTAAGATTAACAAATGCTCAGAAGGTCCTACAGAATGGAGGTTAAACAAATCCTGAGTTTATAAACTCTGGATTAACTTCCTCCAAGCAGGGAAACTAGACCGTCTACAACAAGGCCGATTCAATAACTCCAATACCTGCACCCAGATTTAAGAGTGTGCACGTGCACAGTAAAAAGCCATTACCAGGGGCGATGTGATACAGGAAGTTACCATGACAACAGCAAACAAAGCAACAAACAAACAAAAAAAGATGTCGTTTGTCACTGAATGTTAAACATGCAGTGCAGCTGGAAGGTCTGTCCCAGTGCTTTATTTCATTCAGACTGGTTAACAACAACAACAACAACAACAACAACAACAACAACAACAACAACAACAACAACAATTACAGTATAGAAATTAAATTGGCCACCGTTCTCTTAAAAAGCTTTTTGGTCAAAACGTTAATTTGAAAACGAGGGTTGTAACAGGAGGTTTATTGTAGGAACGTGTTCCTGTAAAAGGAGGTTCTCTGAACAACAAGTTGACTACGTCTGCTCAGTGAGCGCACGCTGTGTTGATGTGTGCACCAGGACAATGTTACGCACCAATAAATAAGTGAACTGTTGTTCAAACTAAATAATACCTGGCTGGAGCAGAGAGCAAACCCACAGAGGGTAAATGTTTTCCAGACAGTTCACTGGTTCATCCTACTGTCTGTTCTGAAGCAGATAGACACTGGTCTTACTACTGTTCCACGGAACCGAGTGGTGGTTTTCACCTGTGAGGCGTCAGAAATGGAGCTGACAAAACAGGTGGAGGCAGACGACTGGGAAGGCAGCGAAACACTTATCTACAAAAAAAACAGAAATGAAAATAAAGTTTGCATATTTATTAAGGCAGAATCTATTAAAAATGAAAATGTCTCTATTTGACAAAGCTGACCAGTAAAGAGTTTATTTGAGAGGGTACTGGTTGGGACATGGTACACATTCTATCATTACGGTTGCTATTCACTGAGGATAAACTGGAGAGTAGCACACAACACTACGCATGCACAACTCATTCCTGTCCTATATGGAGTAGCTTTACTCTGCCATAGTCCTACCTGTGCATTTCTCAGTTCATCTTTAGTTTCCAGTAGAATGATTCTGCTCATTAAATTTTCCCAGCTATCTTTGGATATGGTAATAACTGGTCCGTCACTCTGGAAAATGTTGGGAGAAATGCAAAAAGATGGCGCAGCTGTGAACATGTGTATTTTCTGTTATTTTCAAAAACTAACCAGACAGAGAAAAGGTGCCAGAATAGATCTAGAAATGTGGGAACCTTTTAAAATCAACCTTATCTGTGATTTGACACTTCTCAAGTTCCTCCAGGCGTTTCTCCAGAACATTCAGCTTGTTGAGACCAGACCAAAGAGTCTGGAACTGAGCCTCCAATGCTGAGAGTCGACCTTCCACCTCAGATAGCTGAAAGACAAAACAATGATTTATGTACAGGCAAGAGAGTGGTGAAGGCTGCACAGAAGATGTAGGAGTCAGTCTCCTCACCATCAGACATCTACACCTCCAGATGCAGGAAGAGGGCCACCTGCATCATGAAGGACCTCACTCACCCAGCACACACACTTTTTGTCCCGCTCACCTCAGGAAGGAGGTTGAGGAGCATTAAGTGTAGAACCACTGGACTGATGAACAGCTTCTACCCTGAGGCTGTTAGACTCATGAATTTCTAACCAGGATAATCACTGTGAAAAATCACATCATTTGCTGCTGATCTGTTTCATGCTGCTGATCTGTTTCATGCTGCTGCTGATCTGTTTCGTGCTGCTGCTGCTCCGTTTCGTGCTGCTGCTCTTTTTCGTGTTGCTGCTGCTCTGTTTCGTGTTGCTACTGCTCTGTTTCGTGCTGCTGCTGATCTGTTTCATGCGGCTGCTGATCTGTTTCATGCAGCTGCTGATCTGTTTCGTGTTGCTGCTGCTGATCTGTTTCGTGTTGCTGCTGCTCTTTTTCGTGTTGCTGCTGCTCTTTTTCGTGTTGCTGCTGCTCTGTTTCGTGTTGCTACTGCTCTGTTTCATGCTGCTGCTGATCTGTTTCATGTTGCTGCTGATCTGTTTCATGTTGCTGCTGATCTGTTTCATGCTGCTGCTGATCTGTTTCATGCTGCTGCTGATCTGTTTCATGCTGCTGCTCTGTTTCATGTTGCTGCTGATCTGTTTCATGCTGCTGCTGATCTGTTTCATGCTGCTGCTGATCTGTTTCATGCTGCTGCTCTGTTTCGTGTTGCTGTGTTCATACGTGCTCATCTGCTCACACAGACTCATGTTCGTGCTGCTGTTCAATGTAATGTTTTTATGTTATGAGTGCTTAGTGTATATTTAGTTGATGTTTTTCTTAGTTCATATCTTAGATGTTATTACTGTTTTTCTTAGACATTTTCCACCACGTGAGATGCGAATGACAAAATAAATCTCTCCGACTCTTAAAGAAGTTACAGTTAATAATCATGGCTATCATTGTTGTTTCTGTTATTCACAATACATAATAAAAAGAGAAACTGGTGTCCTGTTAGTCTAATATTTCTGACGTTGTCTGGTTGGAAGCTGTACACTCGTGGTGAATACTCACACACAGAATGCTGTCCTCAGACTCCTCTCCTCCTGGATGTGGGATCTGTTTTTCAGAAGAACCAGACGAGGGCGTGTCTGTGTGAGAGGTAGAGGCTGCATCACGGGTGGAAAAGGTTTCCTCTTCAGTGGAATGTGCAAAAGTTGGATGATTTTCTAAGCGATGGGCAACAAATGGTTTTTTCAATGCCTAAAAACACACAAAAACAAACCTGTATTCAGCTCCAGATAAACATATGAACTGATGTTTCTCATCATACATGTGACTTACTGTTGGTCAAAGTTCACGGATGTTTTTAACTGCTATGGCTGACAATGTAAACTCTGCCCATGAACCATCTGTTGGGTTAGCAGGAAGCTGGATGAGGAGCTGGGTGAAGCTGCTGCGTGCAGCCGTCTCTCCAAGGACACGTCCAAGCCTGCGTGCTCGGCTGAACTGAGAAACGTACAAACACAAGCTGAGCACACAGCTCGACACAGATTCTCATGACTCGTCATCATGTGTGTACTTATGTATATTTGTGTAACCTGTCCTGAACATATGCACACATGGAGCCCAGTCACGAGAATCTGCCATGAGCAGTGTGTGCAGCTTGTTTTTATACACTTATCAATTCAGCCGAGCTCACAGACTCGGACGCGTCCTTGGAGAAGGAGCTGCACGCAGCAGATTTACCCAGCTCCTCATTCAGCTCTCTACTAACACAACATGTGATTCATGGGCAAAGTTAACGTTTAACAGTTAAAAACATTCCTAAACTTTGACCAACAGTTCCCTAACACTTATCACACCTTTCTGTCAACTAGTTTGTAAAGTTTAGGGTCAATCAGGAAACACTCCTGTACAATAACCACTTCCAGGTCGAACAATCTTTAAATGATTATTACTTTTAATGATTGAAATCAATAAAGCGTTAAATTACTGCACCTTCTTAAGCTGATGGTGCCTCTGCAGGACCAGGTTAATGACGTCACACAGGAAGGAAATTTTCCTTTGAGAGAAACCCAAGTGGAGGAACTGCTGTTTGCTGAGTATGGGCTTGTACTGGAACATATCTCGAAGAACCTGGATGCACACATCATGTGCACTCAGCTGAAAAGGCTTTTACATCATAGTGACAAGTCGTTGTATAAGAGCATTAACTAAAGGTTCACCACACACTGTTCATGGGTCTAAACATTCATCACAAGTGAGTGTGAACAAATTTGAAGGAACTTGTCCATGCAGCCTCAGGGCTGTTAAAAACAGTTCTTTCTAGTGACTGCTGATGCTCACAGACAAACATTTACTTTCTTTTCAACCTACAAAACAGTGTTACCTTATAAACAGTGTCAGTGAATCGGAGATCAGTTTTGCTGGACAGTTCCAGTCCAGCTGCCATGAGCTGCTCAGCAAAAGGAGCAGAGAAGGAGGTCAGGGTGAAGCTCATTATTGGCAGAAAAGCTGAGGGATCTCCTTTACAAAGCCTAGTGAGGAAACAAATACCATCAGGTGCAAAATGAACATAAAAGTAGGGTCGTTCAGGGCTCGCAATGAAAACAAAGCTGGAAACAAGAAGCGTAGCCACACTAAACATGTGTACGTTACAAGCGTAGCCACACTAAACATGTGTAGGTTACAAGTGTAGCCTCACTAAACATGTGTACGTTACAAGCGTGGCCACACTAAACATGTGTACGTTACAAGCGTAGCCACACTAAACATGTGTA